TCCAGGTAAAATAAACTAACTAGCAGACACTGCGCAGAACATCGACGTCATTCAAAACTCCTCCTTCTGTTTGCTGATTGGTCCAGGTAAAATAAACTAACTAGCAGACACTGCGCAGAACATCGACGTCATTCAAAACTCCTCCTTCTGTTTGCTGATTGGTCCAGGTAAAATAAACTAACTAGCAGACACTGCGCAGAACATCGACGTCATTCAAAACTCCTCCTTCTGTTTGCTGATTGGTCCAGGTAAAATAAACTAACTAGCAGACACTGCGCAGAACATCGACGTCATTCAAAACTCCTCCTTCTGTTTGCTGATTGGTCCAGGTAAAATAAACTACAAGCAGACACTGCGCAGAAAATTGACGTTCTCTTCTCTGATTGGTTCGGCTAAAAATCTGCCAGTGAAATCCTTGTCAATGGGAGAAGTCCCAGACAGAGCAGTGAAGGGAAACTAGAATTGAGCGGAGCTGCGTAGGAAGGCAAGGGCCAGGCTAATGTTGAACARTTTCTGAGTTATAAGCATTTTTGCATGTCCAGACACCCCCACTTTGAAAAGAGCCCCCTCCTCAAATATGGGGTCTATTGTAAAACTGTTGGCTGGCACAGTGTAGATCTGACTCATCTACAGCCCTGCCAAATTTCATGTTGACCAGTGCAGCCGTTTTTGTGCTACAGTTGACCAAAAATCACTGGAAAATATAATAAATAAATAAAATTAAAAATAAATAAATAAAAATAAATAAAAAAACAAATAAACAGTACGAAAACAATGACTCCCGCTAACCCCCCCAAAACAAACAAACAAACAAACAAACAAACAAACAAACAAACAAACAAAACATCCAAAACACTACAATTTTGGGATGCACCTATAGCATGACATTTACTAGGAATAAAGACTTCTGAGTTCTGGTGCATTTCTGTGTGCGGGGGTCATTATGTTACCGCTATGCGGTATCTAGTTTTTATTTATTTGTTTTCTCAGTTTACATTTTAAGATGGTAGAAATCAGCTTAGGAACTGCCCTAAGATACTGATTACTAAAAACTCGACAGAACACCAAAAGTCTGAACTCTCCCTTTAATGTTAGCAGTATGAGTGCAATGTATGTGTGTTTTATATATTTTTTATTTCATTTTTTTTATATAATTACTGTCTTTTTAAGAATTGTTATTGGCTGTACGTTGCCTCAGAGACTTGATTGGAAAGGTACCTCATTCACTTATATGTAACAAAGCTTAAAATAGCCTCTTTTATTTTATTTTTGTGTCATAACCGATAAGATGTTGCTGTGTAGTTGAATGGAATTCTGCAACATTTAATCAGTGTTTGTCATGAAGGTCAATATTCTCTTTTCTAAAAGTGTAAAAATCAAGTCATACAATTGTATAATCTGATTCTGGTACAATGCATCACAAAAAGTCTGCAATTTTAGAAATACTGAGTCAATATTGCGTAAAATAAACTTAAAATCGAGTCTTGATGTTTGAACCCCTTTAGGCAGTATAACTAATGTAACTATCCCCAACCTGCAAATATAGGTTAGAAACAATTTTTTTGTGATTAGAGTGTAATGATAAATATGTTCCGCACCAGTAGGCAGTCACTCACTGTTTAAGTATGTTATGTGTTCCCATGACTAGAAATTAACTGGTCATGCAGAGTCATCAGATAATTTTCACGACTTCTTGAAAGAGACGTCAGAGAATGAAAGACCAGCAGCCACAGTCATGGTATGGTATCACAGCTGTTTATTCAAGATATTGTGAAATCACATGCTAAAAGCATTCAGATCTGTGGGACATTCCCTGAAACATGAGTTGACTTCTGATGATATAAAATAGTAAACCTGGACTTTGAAGGTAGGCAAGTTTCCCATGATGCATGGGTATTTTGTGAGATAGTATCAAGCAGAACTCATCAAGTTAAAAGCAAGAGTCACATATTGATACAGGTTTTTAATCTGTTATTTTAGAGTAAAATAATAACAATAAAAAGAAGACATGACATTTTTCGCAAGTGGTTGCTTCCTGCTTCCAGATCTTTTAGTTTTCAGTTTGAGCCTACACAATAAAAGGTACGTCTCTGTGAAATGGACTTTTTGTCAATTCGTGGCAGATTGACTTTGAGACAGAAAGAAAAGGACAGAGAGCTCAAGGGAGCTGAGATGAGAAAGTCAAATGATTTGACAGAAGGGAAAAGACTGAACAAAAGACCAGATGGACTTCAATAACGCAAATAAAGGAAGTGACTGTTACAGGGGACAAGGTGGAAATGAGGTACAGAAGGAGCGAGAGACAAGGACAAGTAGGCAGGCTGAAGGAAAGATCACCTCCTTCGTACCCGCTACAAACTGTAGAGGCAATGGGGAGAGAAAGTGCAGAAAGGAAGAAATGTGGTCTGTATGGGGTGGGGCGGGAGTGGAGGTGGGGCAAGTGTGGGAGAGGCAAAAGGGTGTGTGCACACATGAGCCTCTTCCTCTTCATGCCACACGCCTCTCCAGCACAGAATAGAGAAAGTTGGGGTCAAATTTTGAGTCCTCTCTAGCTCACTCAGAGCAGATCCAGTGTTTTTTTTTAATTCTTTTCTTTTTCTCTCCTAGCCATCTACTCAGTTTCACTCTCACACACCCACCAGCCATCACTGCTGGTTCTGTGGAAGGAAAAGAAGAGAACTGTTRCACACCTTTACACTCAGCTGCTCCTCAAGCCATCGCCATCCTCTTTGTTCAGAATGTGGACTTTACTTTTGGGGGTCATCTTTGGATTGCTGGCCTCCTCCAGGTCGGATCAACTTCAAGGTGAGGAGCCCTTTTGTTTGACATCTTCTTTCTTTCTTTCTTTCTTTCTTTCTTTCTTTCTTTCTTTCTTTCTTTCTTTCTTTCTTTCTTTCTTTCTTTCTTTCTTTCTTNCTTTCTTTCTTTCTTTCTTTCTTTCTTTCTTTCTTTCTTTCTTTCTTTCTTTCTTTCTTTCTTTCTTTCTTTCTTGTGTTTAAATGGAACTGCCATGAATGTCATTTTTTTCTTTGTAATCAGATTTTAGGAACAAACATTTTTTCCCCCCATCTCTTAAATCTTTATGAGCACATGAGAGTATTCTTATAAAGAGAAGTGGGAGAGAGAAAACCGCTGCACTCTTGTGAGGATGCTGCTTGTACGGATGAGTGAATGCTGGCAGGAGAACATGTGCTGCACCAGCACAGACAGGCTTACGTCTGGTCTGTCTCAGACGCCTAATAGACACAAAGAGGACGAGCGTTTTTGCTCTCTCTCTCTCTCTGTCTGAAACATACACTGGGTAGTCAGCATTAGCCACGCTGGTTTTGGATTATCATTATAGCGTTTATGGAAATTTCTATTAAACTGGAAGTGGATTTAAGACTTTGTTCCCCCTCTCTCTTTTTTTTTACTCTGCCATGTTTAATGCTTAGATCTGTGACACAAAGGATGCTCTTTAATCCACTTTCTTTGTCCTCTTTCATTGTCTTATTTTTACCCTTTGCCACCTTGCCCCATGTGGTTTGTGTATGTTTTTATTGGGTTTGTTGCTTAGAGCGACAGTCTCTGGAGGTGAGCTTGGTTCAAATGGGTCTAGGATTTGTCTGGCTCGGTCCCAGAGGAGCTGGTGGTTCAGTTGTTCACAAAGACTCATCTCTGGCACAGAGCCAAACAATCAGCATTAAATTGCAAATTTGAGCAGGATTTAAAGACAAATAGGAGAATACCTGGTGGACGTCTCAGGTGCAGAGCATGTGGGTGGAAGGAGTGGGATGGATCCTTTTTCAGTCTTTTTGTCTCAGCCTGTCTTTACCTCGCGAGACCCGTGTGTTCAGACGTGTGTGTGCTTTGTAGATGAGCATGTGTTTTGTGAGTGGGCAGAAGTGTTTACAGTCATTCTTGTCTGGCAACTTAAGTGCTCCGAGTTGGAACTGCTCATCCAGGTCCAGACAGCTCATTAACCACGTAAACCAGTGGGTGCATTTTTAACAACAGCAAAACTTGACATTAGCCAAGGCAGCCTATTTTAAACCAAGCTGCAAATTAAGAAAACCTTCTTATACTGAATGTTTTTTTTCTTTTTTTTAATGCAAATGATAAACTGACACAAATGGTATATTTTTTATTCACTGGTGACTTTAGTTACACTAAAACCATTCATGTGTTGCMACTTTTTTTGTCACTGGGTCATTACTTTGTGGCTGCAAAACATCTGCAATATGAAGCAATGTTTAGAGTTTTAGTACAAGAAAGACTTATTTCTTCATTTCCATAATTAGAGTAAAAACTCAAATAAGTATGTATGTATGCGGATGATTTTGAACAAATATGGAGCTTTTTTAAAGATGCCTAAATATCTTGCAAATGAACTTATTTCTGAATTATCTTGAAAACTTGCTGTAGAGATATCAAACTACAACATTTTTTATTTAAATTTAAATTTAATTTAATTAAATTTTTGCTTAAAATATTTCTCTTCTCTATATTCTAGCTAATCTGCCTGCAGCTTGTTTTGGAAGGTCATATTTACCCTCTGGTTTTGAGAGACCCCCCCCCCCCCCCCCCCCC